ACCGTGAATTAAAGTTATTAAATCATAACTAAACTAAAAGGCATGCAGTTTAAAATAAATTTACGAAAACAAGATATATCCAAATTAAACTAAACATGTTCATTGTTAAATGAAAATGTTATCTACTAACAAATTTAGAAATTAAACTACTGCAGGATTAGAGATTTAACCATAATTAAAACTAAAATAAGCATAAACAATGATTAAAGTAGCATGTTTGAAATTGAGAAAAAGCGTGAACGTCATATAAGTAAACATTTGATGAAATACTACTTATCATAAACATTAAATTAATTACAGTCAGAAAAAGAATAGTACCTTGAAGAAATTTAAGAACTTGAAGTTCATTACATGAAACGAAATTACTGAAGCAAGTACTCGAACTAATTTATTTATTAGAATGATGATAAACAACCTAGATTTACTAGAAATTATGCTGAAATCCGAAGTCTGTAAGCAATTGTAGAGAAAAATGAAAATTTGAAAATTTACATGTTTTGAATAGGGCTGGCCGTGTATTCTCCCTTCCAAAATTTCCTTTTTGTTCTCCTTTTGCTGGTTGTAATTTCCCACTTTGTGCAGTTACAAAATTGTGGATAGTTTCTTAAAGTAGTGGGACAGTTCAACAGTTGACTTGGTCAGATCTCCTTCTAGATTTTCACCATTTGTGCTCTTATCTGATAACTCCCTTCTATAACTGCAATCTCCTCTTAAATTTCAGCTAAAATAGTTCCTTTTTTACTCAAAAAAGTAATTGCATAGTAAAATCTTATCTTTATCTCCCTTTTTTGCCAATGTGGTAGCTGATCTGTCATAGAGCCCAGAATAACAAATCTAACATGATAAAATCTCCTACATCCATTAAAAATTTTTAACACATGCTTTGATCTTAAATTTTTTGCAATTTATGGTGTAAACACATATATATCGGTAAAGTAGCCATCAGTCCTACCTCCCAAAAAAATCTGGGGTCCCAACCCAAAACGACGTTGTCCTCTTAATCCCAGCCCTTCCCCTTTGCCTTTGCCTTTGCCTCTTCTGCAATCATCTCCATCTCTATCTGTGATTCCTTCTCCATCGCCTCTCATCTCCATCGACTCCTCCGAATCCTCCGAATCCTCCGATTCCACTGTAATTCATTTTCTCGGTCGACGGTAACCCTTGCTTTTTTTCACTTCTTCTGCAATCATCTCCATCTCCATCGATTCCTCCAATTCCTCCAATTTTTCAAATGCAATCCCACACCAACGGCTTAATCCCCAACACCCACTACTTTAACCCCATTATGCTACTGCAATTCATCATCTCCGTCGAAGAGAAGGAATCGAGGGACAGTAAGCTCTATCTACCCAAAAAAATCGAAAAAATCTCTCTTTTTTGTTGGGTCTCTTTTTAATCATTGATCCGTTGAATTTTTCAGATACAATCACGCCGTCGACGGTAGCAAAAAAGGAATCGAAGGAAATGACCTTCTGAAAGTATTTTTGTTTTCTTACTCCAATTTCTTGTTGAATCTGGAAAAGAAAAGCTTGCTTGTAGGAATTGTTTGTTTATTCAATTAAATTTGGTAGCCAGAGCCATTTTTTCTTAACTATCTGATGATAAAATTCTTAAATTGGTGCCTTGTAAATTATGTAAATTATTTGTTCATGCTATAGAATACTAGTATTTTGAGGATTGGAGCATGCAGGTGACTGTAGTATTAATGGTGTTGTCACACTGCTTCCTTTAGAACTGTTTTATGCTATTAGAATTTAGTATTGTTTTCCTTGGTGCCCCCTAGAGGCCTGGCTTTGGAGTTTTTCATATTGGTAGCTTTTATTTGTTCCTTACATTAAGTTTGCAGATTGGTACCTATGCTATTATAATTTACTCGTTCTAGAATTTAGGCTTGGTTTTATGGTTTTAATTTGAAGATTGTATTTTTGTTTGTTGCGTTGTTTGGATAGGGTTAATGCTTAGGGAAAATTCAAGTAGATGAAAGAAAGTTCTTTTGTTATGACAAGTCAGATCATATTTTAACAAATTGAATGGCACGGCAGCAGAGGGCAAATGAAGTTCTCTTTTGTGTTTACAGCTATTGAGGAGCCAACTTAGCAAACGTGATGTCTCAAGACCTCTCTTTCAATGATGAGGTTGAACAATTAAAGAATGAGGTTGCTGTTGCTTTTGAGAAGAAGATAGTTTCCTTCATAGTGGAGAATGTTGTGAAGAATAAGTTGAATAAGGCATATAGCAAAAAGCCCAAAAAAACAAGACATTCTGCAGATTTAGCCTTAGCTTGATTGTGGCTTTTTCTTTTTCATGTTTTTTTGGCTTTATTATGACAAAATGTGACTTGTAAGCTCACATACAAAATTTTGTACTGTACAATGTAAATTGGTTATATGCAATAAAGTTGGCAATTGCCTTTTTATGTACAAAATAAATTTCCACTACAATTAACAAATTTTGCACAAATCTTTTTTTTTTTTTGGTACAGCAGAAATAAGCTAAATAATTAAAATAAGGTAAACCACCAACGGAGGAAGCAGACCTCCATCTGATCCCCTTCAAGGATATTCCATAATCCACTTGGTGGAGAATCCCAAATATGTAATCCTAGTGCAATTGAGTGTCCTAGGGAAGCTAAAAAGTCTACTGCAGCATTACCTTCTCTTAAAGTATGCTGCAATATACACACATCAATTCCCTACATCAAGTTTTTAATTTCCAATAGAATTGCAGCATTACGGAGATGATGAATTGCAACAGCATAATGGGGTTAAAGTAGCGGGTGTTGGGGATTAAGCCATTGGCGTGGGATTGCATTTGAAAAATTGGAGGAATTGGAGGAATCAATGGAGATGGAGATGGAGATGGAGATGGAGATGGAGATGGAGATGGAGATGGAGATGGAGATGATTTCAGAAGAAGTGAAAAAAAGTAAGGGTTACTATCGACGAAAAAGATGAATTGCAGTGGAATCGGAGGAGTCGATGGAGATGAGAGGCGATGGAGAAGGAATCGGAGATAGAAATGGAGATGATTGCAGAAGAGGCAAAGGCAAAGGCAAAGGGGAGGGGCTGGGATTAAGAGAACAATGCCGTTTTGGGTTGGAATTCCAAATTTTTTCAGGAGATAAGACTGATGGCCACTTTACTGTATCTATATATATATTATATATATATATAACACGAGATAGTCGCATATCTCTGATTATTAGCGCTTGCAACAAGGAAATCTTCACAACATCATCACTTATATTCTATTTGAACCCAATTTGTTCCATGGAGCATGGGCTTATCAACCTGCAGTGCTTGCAGCTTTCATTTGCTGCCTTGAAAACCACTTCATTTGCTTTCATTTCAATGGCTTCTTTTTCATCATCGTTTTAAACAAGGGCTTTTCTATTTCGCCGTATGGCAACAAACCTGCTGCATATTTTGCTGTCATCTTACAGCAACCTTCCAGCTCTGACAGATTCAACCCGTGTTCACTACCCAGTTGCATTTTATTATACAAAAATATTGTCAACAAATTATTTTTTTATTATATATTTTTTTAGAATTTTATTAAAAGGATTTATGAGTGATTCAAGATCAAAACCATTTATATTTTATAAAAATTAAAAAGTATTCATTTTAAATACCTTTGACATATAATTCAAAAATTTAGAATTTTTCTTCATCTTATTAACTTACTCTCTGTATTTTAATGTAATTGTCCAAACTTATATTTATACGAACCGCTAGATGATAGAGCAAACCAACAAATGAAGTGGTATTTTAACATAAGTTTTAACTAATTCTTAAATTGTCTAGATATTTTTAAAATAAAAAATATTTAGGATATCTAAAATAAAACAAAGAGAGTACATATCTTTTTAAATGCTTGATTTGGTTGCATATGATCAAAAAAAAAATTTCCCTTTTGGTACATCTAATAACAAGCTCTCTCTCTCTATATATATATATATATATATTGAACTATGGGGGAAATTTGGAGGAAAGGGAGAATAGGGGGCTGCTATTGCAGTTTGAACTCTGGTTGAAGTAAAAAATTAAACGCACACCTGAATAAAGGCAGCCAAAGCTACAGGTGCCTCTATATATATATATATAACACAAGATACTCGCATATCTCTGATTAATAGCGATTGCAACAAGCAAATCTTCCCAACATCATCACTTACGTTCTATTTGAACCTAATTTGTTGAATGGAGCATGGGCTTATCAACCTGCAGTGCTTGCAGCTTTCATTTGCTGCCTTGAAAACCACTTCATTTGCTTTCATTTCAATGGCTTCTTTGTCATCGTCATTTTAAACAAGGGCTTCTCCATTTTACCGTATCGCAACAAACTCTGTCATAATGCAACAAACTTGCTGCATATTTTGCTGTCATCTTACAGCAACCTTCCAATCCTGACAGATTCAACCCGTGTTCACTACCCATTTGCATCACTTATTACCATTCAACCAACCCCAGAATAAGAAATAATAATACTTACATTAATAATATAATACAAAAATTTGTTGTTTTATGATAATAATGATGATGATGATTATAAATCCAAAAAAAAAAAAAAAAAAAAAAAAAAAAAAAAAAACTAAAAAAAAGACACTGCCATGTCCCCCTCCAACAAATGACGAAAGTTAAAATTACATATATAAAAACCGATGACAAGCTTGTATAGTTTCGGAGCTCGGGTACTACTTAATGGGAAATCCATTCTTAATTTAGTTCATAAAAATTTTTGGAAGCAAATGGCTTCACCAAATAATACAACATAAATGCTGCTTAACAGAAATCAGTGAATGGAACAATCAAAGAGATGTACAGAAAGGATATATTGCCACAAAATTTCTCCATTTCTTCCTATCCCATTCATGGATTTGTCTCATGGCTTCAAAAAGAGGTCATCTTCACCATAGACCCTCCAGGATATGAATTATCACGTATAAATTATTGTGTCAGCTACAGATCATTTTGGCTCTCGCTGTCCAAGCATTTTTCTGAACAACATGTGTTGTTGATGCCCCTCAATATCCATTGTTTGTCCTTCTTTCCCTCACTTTGTAGTCATTGTTTTATTATCAGATAAAACTCTTTTCATATCTTCAAAATATGGCCAATCCTTTTGGCTTTTCTCATCACTCATGCTTTCCTGCTAAACACGAGAGCAATTACTGTCAAAATAAGCAAATACCAATAAAGGGGGCATGATTAGCAATAATAAAGGGAATAAGTCACAGAATAATAAAAAAATTTTAAATGCCATGTCATTTAAAGTGGTAAATGGAGATAGAACGAAACCTCATATTTCTGAACCAGAGACGCCCACAAAGATTTGCATTGACCTGGACTTCGATCAATGTCATTAGCAACCAAACTTGTGGATATTTCTTCCCAGAGAGCCATTCTCCCCTTCACAACTTTGAATCTGTCATGCAATTCCCCCCGCAATGTAATCAGCTTTTTAACCTCCCCAGGTTTCCATTTGTTCCTTTTGGCTCGCTTGGAAGACTTTGATTGGGAGTTTGGCATGTCCAACTCGTCCTCATTGCTTTCAGTATCATCATTATTAATGCCCACTTTGTTTTGCTCTTCTGGAACAAAGCCATCTGTATCTATTTCGTCAACTAGTGATGATGATGTTGATGGTGTGATGAATGATTTCCAGAAATCATTTGAATCCTCAACACTTGAAGAGTATGTTTCCCCCAAGTCGATACTTGTCGTGGCATCACCAACTGCATGCATAAATAATGATTTCAGGGAGGGCTGGAGGCTGAAGTGTATGCATAGGAATTGTTGCCTCAAATTTAAGAAAAATGCCTAGACTTCAAGAACACAATGAAGAGGATAAGCAATTTGCAAGTGGGTTTATAAGTTATAGTCCAAACAAATGGGATATAGAAAAGAAGAATTTGATTCAGAACTCAATACCAAATATATATTTCCCTTCTTTCTTTCCTGCCAAAGAAATTCATAGGGAACTGAAATTTTCAATCAATTCCTATAAAAGTAACCATAAAACTGTGGTAGATCTGGGATTCAAAAACTTCAGTATCAGCAGGTAGACACCAAAAGGACTATATAATAAGCCCAAGATATCAGTGAGTCCTAGTTAAATGCCATCAATAGACATACAGGTTTCAAGATATATGATAAAATGATAAATACTATATTACTAAGTTATACATAAAATTTGATTTAAAAAAACAATGAAAAGACTTAGGCAACCATGCAAGAAGCAAGTACTACCAAATTCACACAAACATATCAATATGCATGATGCTCACATGTTTATTAACATGAATCTAAAGGCATATGTTCACCTAAACAAAAGAGAGCAAGTGTAAGAAAAGGACCTTCCAAATTTTGTTCTGGAGTCTTATCAAGATAAGGTTGACCATGGTCATCTACATACATGTTGTTTAATTTACTCCTTGAATGCTGATCTACCACTTTTCTTAATGTTGTTACCACAGAACCAGTATGTGAATTACCAGATAGCTTTGCGTTGAGCTCATCAGCAAGAACACCTGCAGGGTTTTCGATTGCAATGGCTATAACTTCAGGCCTTTTACCACTGTACTTCCTTACCATCTTCCTCAAAACCTCGGACACTGTTCTTTCCATGTGAGCTAAAGGACAACTGACTGGACAGCTTGAAAGTGCAGCATGAGCAGCTTTATGGAGTGCATCTAAAAGCTTCCCTTTGTCAAGCCATAAGCATCGTGTAGTGATCCTTATCTTCCCTTTTATGCTATTTTCAATTATGCCATTTACCTTTTGAGGGCGCAAGATTTCCATGCTGCAAAAAGGATATGTCAAGAAACCATAGAAGTAGTGATACACAGTTCAATTAAGCATTTAAATTATTACCTGACCACTATGATGCCATCTGATGCAATTCTAAGCCTTTCATCAATGCAAAGTTCACTTGATGTCCCAAATGCTTTATCACCATCACTATACATCAACTGCAAGTTAAGACTAATTCATTAACATTTTCTAGATTAACTTCTTATAATAGATGACACAATCACCCAATGTTCATAGATAGATCACCAACCTGCAAATTCTCCTTCCCAAGGGAAATAAAACCACTAGAAAGAACTCTTCTATTCCTCAAGTGAGAAACCCCAAGCATCTCACCATTCCTTATAACCTGACAAAATAATAATAATAATAAAAAAATTCATGACAATTTGCAAGAATACATAATAATCTCTTCAACATAAACAAATCTCAAAATTTCATAGAACTACTTAAAAATCTAATCACATAAAGTTCCATAGATGGTCAGAACATGAACTTCAGTGATAAAGAACACGACAGGATTTCGAATATTATAAAGGAAAGAGGAGAATACCAGAAATTTAGGTTTTAGGAAGTATGCAATATCAATTCATCAAAACTAATATATAGAGGACTCTCTTCCTCTTCCGCATCACTTAGTGTGCATGTTTCTACCAATTGAATGCCTTAAATCCTAGAGCTAGACTGCTAGAGCAGTATTCTTAAAAATAGAAGCAGGAACCAGAAGATCTATATGATTGAGCATGTCATTTAAAAATTTCCAGTTTTTATTTAATAGTTCCCAACAATAACAGCCTTGAAGACTACTGTAACTGTAGCATCAACAAGCTGTTCTCAAGTTTTTTTATCTACAGCCAGTAGAAAGATAATTATTATTCTGGAAACAATACAGTTCGATACTCAGAAAATGCAAATTATGTTTAGACAATAAAAATAACACAGCATGCTGAGGAAGAATCTGCCTTCTAGACATTAACACCAAAATAAAAACTTAAGACATACAGTAGTGTGACGAATGCCAGTTGATTTCCCCAATAATTCATGTTCTTTCAGAAATAGGAGTTCTCCATGTATAGGCAAAAAATGCTGTGGCTTCACGATTTGAAGCACTTCTTCCTTCACCATAATCAAATAATATCAACGAAAGCATTGATCAGAATGAAACCATGAAAGTGAAGACAACATCCAATTCTGAAAGGCATTATTAGATCAACATCCAAAGGATATACATAATAACAAGAGATTATTGGCTTCCGGCTAACTGTTGCAGAATAACAAAATAAAGTTTTCCAGATCATTGAGAGAAGAACTTGAAAGATCTAACCATGTCTATATAT